TACCCGAAAGTTCTCAACAGGTCCCTCAAGGATTCGTTCACGGATCTTCTGACATTCTTCATCAGTGGCCTGACATCTACTGATCTCACTCAGCAATGTAGGCCTAACCTCGAATCTAGCAATGAGGACCCCACTCGTGGACACCTCCACTTGTGCCCTTAATGAGCGTAGACACGCGAGTAACGTCCCCGATGTACTCTTCCTGCTCAGTGCATCGGCTACTACATTGGCCTTCCCGGGATGATAGTCGATAATCAAGTCATAGTCCTTGATCAACTCCATCCATCTCCTTTGTCTCATATTCAACTCTTTTTGAGTGAATACATACTTCAAGCTTTTATGATCGGTGAAAATGTGACACGTCTCCCCATAGAGATAATGCCGCCAAATCTTCAGTGCAAACACTACCGCTCCCAACTCTAGATCGTGGGTAGGGTAGTTTGCCTCGTGTTTCTTCAATTGCCTTGAAGCGTAGGCAATCACCCGACCGTTTTGCATTAGAACACATCCAAGCCCTTGGATGCTAGCGTCACTGTATATGTCGTACCCTATCCCTTGTGTGGGTAGAGCGAGGACTGGTGCTTCTGTAAGCCGTTTCTTTAGTTCGAGAAACCCTTTCTCACAATTGTCGTCCCATATGAACTTGGTCCCTTTCTTTGTGAGCTTTGTCAATGGAGACGCCAATACAGAAAATTTTTCAACAAACTTACGATACTATCCTGCTAAACCGAGGAAACTACGTATTTCTTTCACGTTCTTGGGTCTCTCCCAATTCATAATGGCTTCTATCTTGGCTTTATCCACCGCAATGCCCGAACCTGACACGACATGCCCGAGGAACCCGATCTCTTTGAGCCAAAACTCGCATTTAGAGAACTTGGCAAAGAGTTGTTTTTCCCTTAGCCGTTCAAGTACAAGTCTCAAACGATCTTCATGCTCCTCCTCACTCTTGCAGTATATCAAAATATCGTCAATGAATACTATCACGAATTGATCTAAGTACTCACTGAACACACGGTTCATCATGTCCATGAATGCCGTCGGGGTGTTGGTTAGCCCGAACGACATAACTAGGAACTCGAAATGACCATACCTTGTGCGGAATGCACTCTTCGGTATGTCATCTTCCTTTATTTTCAGTTGGTGGTACCCCGACCTCAAATCAATCTTCGAAAACACTGTCGCCCCTCGGAGCTGATCAAACAAGTCATCAATTCTAGGCAAGGGATACCTATTCTTGATTGTGACCTTGTTCAGTTGACGATAGTCAATGCACATTCGAAGTGTTCCATCTTTCTTTTTCACGAAAAGGACCGGTGCTCCCCACGGAGAGTGACTCGGCCTTATGAAACCGTTATCCAATAGCTCTTGCAATTGGGTTTTCAACTCGTTAAGTTCAGCGGGTGCCATTCTGTATGGCGGTATAGAGATTGGTTCGGTGCCGGGTTCGACCTCGATCACGAACTCAATCTCCCTATCGGGTGGAAGTCCCGGCAAGTCTTCTGGGAAGACATCCGGATACTTGCACACAACTCTCACATCATTGATGTCTATCTCTTCTTTGGTTTTGTCCACCACATACGCTAGGTATACGTGGCATCCCTTTCTCATCATATTCCTTGCCCTCACGGCGGATATGATACAACTGTTTGATTTGCCTCTATCTCCCTCGAAGCGTAAGGTCAACCCTTCGCCGGCTTCGAGTTCAAGAATCTTCGTGTAGCAATCGACCCTAGCATGATGTTTCTCAAGCCAATCCATCCCGAGGATTGCATCAAACTCGATCATACTCAGCGGTACGAAATCACACGTCAAGTTCTGTCCCTCCACCTCCACCTCACACGATGGATAGTGACTATCTCTCTCGATATCATCCCCTAGAGGCTTGGACACCAATAGGGTTTGAGTCATCGGTACAAGTGGTCCGTTGAATCCGCTGGTGAATGCCTCACTCACAAATGATCGTTGTGCCCCGGTATCAATAAGGATCCTTGCGTCTCTCCCGTTTATCTTTAGTATTCCTACATTCATAAGTAATGTATATCACACTATCTAATTAATAGGCTTGTTTCTTAAGTCGTAGAGTATGTTGTTCGTGGTTCGGGTGTGGTCCGTTTGACACCCGTCCGAAAATTCCCGGTTTCTAACCCTTAGAACCGTTCTGGGACCGACCCTGGTGAAAGCCGGCCGCTTTTCACGAAAGCCGGCCGGTTTTCGACTGCGAGAACAATTCTCAGTATTTAATCACGAAAGCCGGGCGGCTTTCGTCGCCGTAGTTTTTATTCAGGGAATGGTTTCGACGCCGGCCGGTTTATACGAAACCCGGCCGGGTTTCAGCAGCGCAGGAATCCCTAGGCCCGACGAAAGTCGGGCGGCTTTCGCCAAAGCCGGGCGGCTTTCAGCTGCGAGAAAATTCCCAGGTCAGGCCTTTATGAAAGCCGGGTGGTCTTTACAAAAGCCGACCGGTTTTTGGTTGCGAGGATTTTCCTGATTAAATGATGACGAAAGCCGGGCGGCTTTTGGTGGAAACCGGCCGGCATTCGTCGCCGCAGCATTTTCCCAATAATTCAAGACGAAAGTCAGGCGGCTTTCGTCAAATGTCGGGCGGTTTTCGCCCAGGCGGGGATTTTCCTCCCCTTTTCCCAACAATCCCGACCCAACCGTCGGGGTTACAAATTTTGCACCTTACAAACACTCCTATTGCATACAATGGAGTAATATCATGAGGTTAGGATCTTACCCGCCACGGAGTCCGGGTTAGCACATGCGTCCGCCTCCGTCATCGCATAAACTCTAGCTTGAGTTCTTCCTTGGTTCACGGACGGCGCATTACTCGTGCTCGCTCCCCCCTGGCCCACACTGGCATGAGATGCTCTGGCCCGGTTCCTACTTTCCGTGGTAGCGCCGCTTGGTCCTGACCCCCGGTTCCCACCAAGTTGAGGGCAGTTTGGCTTAATATGCCCTGTACTCCCGCATTGGTAGCACCGTGGTGGATCACGACACTTACCGGTGTGGTTCCTGTTGCAATTCCTGCACCTGGGCGTCGTTGGGGCTTGTGAGCCCGAGTAGTGCCCACTCGTGGCCGGGTTTCCCTTGGATGGTGCTGCCGGTGCCCTGAACGATCCACCTCCCCCATGGTTCCCCTTCTTGTTGGGACCTTGGGGGCCATGGCTTTCCCACTTTCTTTTCTTAGCCTCTTCGGCATCTCTCTTCTTCCTCTCCTCCCATTGCTTTTCTCCCTTCAACCCTTGGGCGACCACTTGGCTGAAAGTCATATTGGGCAATTGAGTTGCCCTGTCACGTATCTCAAAGTCCAAGGCCTCCCAAAAATGATTCACCATTCTGTTTTCATCACAAGCATACTCCGGTATGTGATCAGCAAGGTCTCTGAACTTGTTCTCAAGTTCTTTCACCGTCATGTTACCGCCTTGGGTTAGGAGAGTGTATTCCCTCACCTTGGCGTTTACTTCGAAGTCAGAGTAGTACTGGGCAAAGAATTCTTGTCGAAAATCCTCCCATGTAACGGTTCCGCCATACTTACCCTTGGTTCCATCCCACCATTTGGATGCCAACCCTTCGAGTAACCTTACCGCGATTCTCAGTTTAAAATCGGGGGTGAGCTGCATGTCAAGGGCTGCCTCGTTCAGCCTCTTGATCCACTGTGCGGCAACCGAGATGTCTCCCGTCCCATCGAACGGTTTGCACCCTAAGTCCCTCGCCTCTTTGATGTATTTGGAGATCCTTATGGTTGGACCTCCATCGCCCCGACTTTCATGCGCTTCCACATGGGTCCTCGAATCGCAATAGCTCCTCTGACGTGCCCTCGTCGTTAGGTACACTCAAAATAAATAATCAATACAACACTAATACGTAGTATAGTGTAGTAAGGTTCGTATCCACAGGGAAAGGAATACTTTTCTTTTATATAAATAGTAACAAGGGGGGTTTAGACTTGTTTGGTTTAATAACACTAAGATAAACGACCTATATGAGTTTAATTCAATGAGATGGGGACTTGGTTTTGCTTTTATCCACTTAATGAAATGTTCGTCGATCCCGGTTATATCTTTAACTATCTTCCTCTCGAATACTCAATCGAGGAGTATATCCAGTTCATCGAGGGTAGTTATTAATAACGAGATGCGTTCATTAATAAAACTTACTATCGAGTCAATATAGAACAAGCGCCGTATATTAACTTGATAGTAGCAATAAACTTAAGATGAAAACGATTGAGATTGATAACCTCAACACAAGCGGTTTATTGGTTTAATCAATATAATTAATTCCCCTAGGCATATTAACCATGAGATGCATGCATTAATATTCCAAGTTTACTACCGTTGAAAGAACCGGATTAATAACAAGTGTATTAACCGATTGATTCTAGTAATAATTAATATGAGAAACAATACTAGTTGATACTTTAAGTAATGTTTAAGATATTAACATGAAATATGAATAGGAATTAATCAATACTCAAGGAAGAATATTAAAATATATGAATCCTACTATGATTAATATCAAGATGTTAACTAATTGTCATCTTAGCAACACTCCCCAATATAATCATAGAGGAAGAAATAGCTATTACTATGATCAATGTCAAGATGTTAACTAATTGTCATCTTAGTAACACTCCCCAACTTTGATATAGAGATAGTATTTTGAAAGAAAGAATTAATATTCAAGGAAGAAGATTAAAGAAAATAACTCACAACTTACAAATTCATTAAGCTTCAAAGTAGCAAAACCAAGATGGAAGAGTTTAGCTCCTCATTTGGAGACTAAACATGATGAAAAATATAAAGAAAGAGCTATTCTATACTGAGCTTAGATGTACAAAGGAATTGGATATCTTATTGTGAAGGAAAGGGGTGTATTTATAGGCTTTTGGGAGCTGCAGGGGCTGATACCCGACCGGGTATATAGGATACCCGATCGTGTATCTTAGGAAATTTCCCGGAAAACCACATTTCTGGACATACCCGGTCGGGTATGTCGGTTTACCCGATCGGGTATGTGACAAATCTTTACGAAAATTTGCTCCCACGATCCTTTCTTCCCGGATTTGATTTGGACAACCGAATCAAGCAAATACCCGATCGGGTATTGCCTATACCCGACCGGGTATACGAGTATTTTTCCAAATCGAAATCTTTCTTGTCTCCTTGCACTTTCCTTGATCTTTTGAGGTCCAATCTTGATCCCTTGGATGATCTTTGACCTGTTTAGCTCAGAAAAGTCCTAATCTAAACAAATTACAAATAAATATGAAAATAAAGTATTACACCAAAACTGTGTAATTTCCTCAACTAGAACTAATAAAAACTAGTTAAAAATACAAACATACAATCAGAAATTACATGAATATCATCCTCCCTCTTGCAGCCCCGCCCGAAGGTTGCCCTACACGGTGCCTTCGGCGTGCCCTCCTTTCTTCGCGCTCCCGATGGTACTGTTGGAGCAGCGCTTCGATCCTGGCCAAAGAGCCACTTTCCTCCTCATCACTCACATCATCATCATTCTCTTCGTAAGGGGTCTCAACTGGCTCAGTCCCCGGCTGGTAAGTTGAGTCCTCATAGGACCAATAGGTCTCACTTTCGGTATCGACGTGGCCATCGCTCACGGTTTGACGTTGGCCTCCACGGCCCCTTCCTCTTGATCCCCTAGAGGACCCCCGGCTACCGCGCTCGGATCCACCCGGTTCACGGCCCAACGGGTTCCTTCTAGTGATCCTTCCAACTGGTTCCATTTCTGAAAGAAATTAGAATGAGTCATTAGACTCGTATCGAATGTCAAATGACGGATGGGTACTTAAAGACATCCTTTGGCTCAAATCACCGCCATACCAATTGTTAAGGGTACCATCTTAACAATTAGAGGCATTGCAACTTAAGTACCAAAAGTTCTATAAGTACAAAACCTTATGCTCATGGTTTTCAAATTCATTTTCAAAAAGGAATTTTGAAGCTTCATTATGATGTTTACGGACTAAGGCTCTGATACCATTTAAATTGTCACGCCCCGGACCTACCCGGACACGTCAACAACCCGCCGTACAGTACGAATAGTCAACCGCAATCCGACTCATCCATACTATACAAGGCATCTTGAATACCATTCACACATAGTACATCCATAAACAAACATAATGTAAAACATTTATTAAAGGCAGCGGAAACAATTGATACAAGTGTTCAAGCCACACTTGGCATAATTAGGCATGCAAGCCCCCAAAGTAATTATTCAGAAAATATTATCCATGAGCATTATTCATATTGTTTTCAAAACAAGAACGGAAGAAGCACGAACCAAAGTCTTCTTCTCAGAAACTTCCCGAAGCAGCGGCTGGTAGTAGCAACCTTCAAGTTCTACCTGAAACTGTGAGGTGGCCTCCCCCGTGAAGGGGAGGTCAGTACTTGGAAACATTTGACAAGTACAATGACAACTATACTAAGTATAATCGAAGTTTAAATCTCTGAGGCCCTCAATCTAGAGCATTATTACATTATAGTTAGTCCTTTCATTTAGTATCAATTCATCATTATTTACTACGGTCTAGAGCCCAGCTCATAATCACCGTTATCTACTACGGTCTAAAGCCCCGCTCATAATCACCGTCATCTACCACGGTCTAGAGCCCAGCTCATAATCACCGTCATCTACTACGGTCTAGAGCCCAGCTCATAATCACCATCATCTACTACGGTCTAGAGCCCAGCTCATAATCACCGTTATCTACATCGGTCCCGAGCCCGGCTCATAATCACCGATTCTTTATAATTCACATTCTTAGGATCTAATCCATCCATTTCTCAACTAACGTTTCCAACTAATATTTCAATGCTATTTATTTATTTATTTCAATATAATTCTTCCTTCATGCATGATTGGCCTTAATATCAAGTATCACTTTCATACCTTCATGGCTTCTCCTCATGGTATCAAAGTATACTATCTCAAATGAAATTCATGGTTGGTACAACCATCATACACACATATTCATAACATCTAAACATACACAATTTATTCATAAATTTGTGTATCATGCATACTATACTTATAATCAATAGTAGTTTTATTTAGGCATTATTAACCATTAACAACTCATGCACATCACATTTGTATTCACTTAGGAAATCCCATGAAATTAACCCAAAGATTATAAGTAACATAGTCGGTCATCCTCACCTTAATTAAGCTTAAGCACGTTCTACGCTTCTCGATTGAACTTTGACTAATTTCGGCGAACTTTGACCAACTCCGGCGAACTTTGACCAACTCCGGCGAACTTTGACCAACTCCGGCGAACTTTGACCAACTCCGGCGAAACTCCGGCGAAGCTCAAAAATACTTTAAATCAAGTTCCTAACAAGGTTTTATCATCACAAAACCCATATCAACACAAATAACCTATAAAAGGTTATTTTCCGGCAAACCGGTCGATTTGGCTTCTAAGTCCGTTTTTGGACTTAGAATCACTTTCCAACCCATTATTCCACACTTAAATCATGTAGAACAATACTAAAGGTCTTTCATATGTTATATATCTTATATGCTAGAAGAAAAACAAAGGAAAAGTTATGATAAGGTCATTACCTTAATTTTCACACTTTTTCCTAGCTTTTTCCTTCTTTAATTTCCTCCCAACTTTCTTGTTTGAGCTCAGCTCGAATTTTGCTATGAAAGATGAAGTTGTAGAGGTTCTTTCCTCCTTTCTATTGATGCTGTCCGAACTAGTGAGGAGGGGGATGGGTAGGAATGCCCCTTTGTCTCCTTTTGGGCAATGAGTGAAAGAGAGGAGGGCCACCATGATTTGTTTTGATGCCAAACATCTCAAATCAGTCCTCTCCCACCTCACCTCTCCTACCAGCCGACTCAGGCCTTGAATAATGAGGCTAAATTCGTGGGTTGGCCCCCACCCATGTGGGAGGTCAACCCTTTTTGTTCAGAAGTGTACAATCGGTCCCGAAAGTTGTATTTTCCGGATTGTTTTAAGTATATTTTATTTTATCGGGTCAAATAAAATATAACACTTGTTCCCAATCCTTATGGGACCCTAGAATCAATATGCACTCAGCAACCTTAATTTAGAAGTCTCCGAAATCCCTTTTTGGGCTGTTATCTGATAAATTTGCCGATACCGATAATTTGGCCTTGTTTGACCAACCGGTCAACCCTGTGCCATTGTTATGGACCAATTAGGATATCCACCACCATATACATATTTTCTAGGCCCAGATGAATCTAATATGTGGTCCCGATAATATCAGGCGGTCCCCACTCCCGATGCGGGCCCCACGTGCATTTTACTATTCACGCGAAAAAGTTAATACGAATTCACAACCTCGTAAATTCACAAGAAATTTCATAGGGTGCAATACATTATTCGCTTAAAGATAAATACATTTGGGGATGGTGTTACATATTCCCTCTCGAATACTCAATCGGGGAGTATATCCACTTAATCGAGGGTAGTTATTAACAACGACCGTTCATTAATAACCCTTACTATTGATCAAATATAGAACAACGTCTTATACCGATTTAATAGTAGCATTTAATCTTTCTAACTCCTTGATGAAATCAATTGAGATGTATAACCTCAACATAACGGTTTCGGTTTAACCAACAAAATTAATCCCTCTTAAGTTTATTAACCACGACCGTGCATTAATAAACCGAAGTTACTTACTTGTGAAACCATCAACGATTAACCATCGGTTCGTTGATCGTTTCTAGTAATAATTAATATATGAAACAAAACTAGTTGATCCTTTAAGTAATGTTCAAAATATTAATATGAAATATGAGTAGGAATTAATTAATATTCAAGGAAGAATATTATTAAAGAAGATGAATCCTACTATAATTAATATCAAGATCTTAACTAATTGTCATCTTAGTAACACTCCCCAACATTAATATAGAGGAAGAAAATACTATTCTAACTAATGTCGAGATGTTAACTAATTGTCATCTTAGCAACACTCCTCAACATTAATATAGAGATGGTATTAAGGAAAGAAGTATTAATTAATATTCAAGGAAAGAAGTTAAGAATATAACTCACAACTTTAATAATCAAAAGCTTCAAGAGCAACACCAAGAATGAAAGTTTAGCTCCTCATTTGGAGACTAAACATAGCTAGAAAAATATAAAGAAATGCTATTCTAAACTGAGCTTAAGAGTATGGAAGAATGGATGATTTTTTGTGAAGAAAAAGTGTGCTATTTATAGGTGTTTTTCAACACCTTTGGCCGGGTACCCGACCAGGTCAAGTACTTACCCGACCGGGTCCGGTCAAAATCAGATAATCCGCCACGTTCTGGTGATCTTCGCACGTCATTTTGTCTCGGGTCACATCTGACCCGACCGGGTCAAGTAGGGGACCCGACCAGGTCCAGTGACTTTCTTGGCAATTTCGTCTGTTAAATCATACCCGACCAGGTGGGGGTTTCTACCCGGTCGGGTTTTACTCCTGGGCAGTCAAATTTCTTGTTTTCTTCTCTTCAAAGTCTTCCTTTCCAACACCACAAATCCTAACTAAACTTTACAACTTATAAATAAAGACTAAAATACAATTACAACTGAAGTCACATAAATGTTTACAAACTAAATAAAACGTCAAACAATCAACATAAATCAAACATAAAAACATGTAATTATGCACTACTAATTAGTGTGCATCAATATACTCACCGTGGGTAGCAATAATCTAATGATTAATTCTACCCAAAGCATGTTAAATTCTAAATTTGACATGAAGGAAATGGGGCTGGCCGATTTAATCCTTGGGATTAAAATAATTAATTAGGGGACCAGACGGTCTTACGCAAAGCCAATCCCATTACGTTGATAAAATCCTTACGAAATTTAATAAGGATGATTATCAAGAGGCAAGGACTCCATTAGATAAACACTTACAACTTACCAAAAATCGTGGAGAGTGTATTTCTCAAGTAGAATACGCTAGGATTATTGGAAGCTTGATGTATCTAATGAGTTATTTAAAAAGTATTGATGGATGTATACCTTTTAAACTCTTTATCTTCAAATAACTTTCCTTTGGGTTGCTATTTCTTACGATTTAATGTATCAATACTTTTTTTAGAGCATTTCAATTATAAAATCAGTTTTTTTCTATTGTCTAAACTTAGAATGTAATAGTTTTAAATGTCGTCATGTATGTATTAATAAAAAATTTGAATAAAAATGCCAAAGAGCCCTATACTAGCAAAAAACGCCCCGCTACACTAGTGGGAAAAAAAATCCACGCTACACTAACGAAAATTTTTCACCCCTACACTCATGAAAAATTTCACCCCCCTTGATCAGAAATTCTGGATCCGTCCTGCTCGGCGGCCGAATGGAAAAGAAAACAAACAATGCCTCCATGCATCATGAGATATATACAAACACATGCATTTCAATTATATGCATGTAATTGAGAGTCAAAATAAAGCCACCGAATAGAGGCTAAGATGGAAAGGTGCATGGGAGCTCCTACCACACTATTGAAAAATCCTTACATGAGTGATTAAAAAGTTGAATAAAAAGTGAGGTGGAAAATTTAAACCTTGTGGAATAAAAGAGGGGCAGCAAATTAAAGAAAGGAAAGGAGGATAGAAGGATAGAAAATGGATCAAGGATAGGATAAGGGATAAAATCATGCCCAAAATTTAAGGTTTGAGTTCATTCATTTTCCTATTATAATGTTATGCCTTGAAGTTTTCTTTACCTTATCTTAGACATCTTTGAGTATAACTATTCTACTATGTTTCATTACATTGTTTTATCATACTGTATTTCCTCTGCATGTTGAGATTTACTATCTTATTAATTCTTTGATACAATAAAATGCTATTTTTGTGAACATAGGAGATATTGCAATTACATTGTAAAACTAAAAGAAAAGATTACTACGTACACATTATAAATGTCAGGGAATGGTTAGAAGGGTAAATCAGTATGACTGGATAGTGAAAGGTTAGGAGCAGTAGCTATTTTTATTATTATTATTATATAGAAATAAGATTTTGTAATAGATTACTCGAAAATACATATTAGTACATGTGTTCTTAGCTCTGTTTTAATACTTCTTATACTCCGTATTTCAGTTGAGAGATTAATTAGTATTAAAAGGAATAAAGAAAAGTGGCTAACGAGTGGATTTTCATTATGAACATTTTACAAGCAATTATACAGAAATTAGTTGATTTATCTTTTAATACGTAAAAGAAGGTAAGTTTTTTTGAGAAGTTTATACCTAATAAAATAAAACTGGTACCTATAATCTGGAAAGATGTTTTATGAGCATAAAGTTCGTAATTTTTTATACCCTACTGTGGAAAAACAGTTTTATGATGATATAATAAGCTAAGGTAATTTTAGGAAATTATCTCTTATATATTAATTTGTTACTTTACAGTAAACTTATTTACAAATATTATACGTTTAGTGACATAATATCTATGTTTTATTTCAACACCCACTATCGGGTATTCTGGTATTAGCATTCTCAGAAATAATTTATTAATTTACGAATTTTATATGTATTAAAGTGATTAAGAATTTTCTAACTGATTACTTGTATATTAAAATATACGTATTATCATGTAATGAGCTATAATATTGAAAATATATGTTAATTCATAAACTGGAAAGTTTGAGAGTGTTTATGGTTAATGAGAATCTATACTAGCAACATATATTATACGTATAAACTATTTTTATATCTAGACATAATTCAATTTAATAAAAATTCGAAAGTTAAAAATAAAGAATGTATATATATTAGTGCTGAGTACTACGTAGGATTGATCTTTAAGTAGTACGATTGAGAGATTTTAAATTATTTGATCTGTATTTTTAAATAGTTGTATTGTTTTTTATAATAATTAAACTGTAGTTCAAAATATGGAGCATGTAAGAGTTTGAAGTTTAAAAAAGTTTGAAATTTAAAACATGTACTCTAATCCGAATGTCTGATAAAAGTAGTCAATTTCAGAATATTTTTATGCTTAAGGTGAATTCGGACTTCGATAAAAATATCAATTGTGATACGCATAAAAGCCACAATATCGAAGAATGGTTGATAATAAGAAATAAGGAACTTGAAACCCCGTTTTTGGATTGGATAGGTTGGCATGCCAATAGGGATAATTAAAACGGTCGTAGAATTTGATCAATGATTTCGGATCTGTAGTCATCGAATGGACAGCACCCAAATCTTGATATTTGATACACGCACGCTTCTATACGGGTCCCTAGCCACCGAGTGCACAGCACCCAAATATGTTCGTTTATGGGTCCGTAGCCACCGAGTGGACAGTACCCAAACGAACCCAACCCGGCCAGAGCCACTGAGTTGTCCGTGCCAAAATAGTTCTCTGATGGTTCGTAGCCTACGAGTGGACAGTACCAGAGATGAGAACATCCCATTTATCCAGTCCATTAAACTAAGGAGTAAAATTCCTAAAAATAAGAAATGTATAGAAATTCGACTTGGAAATGCAAATGAGAAAAATGAAATGGTACATTGAAAAGTGAAAAAAATGCTAAGAGCATAAAAAGTACCGATAGTATATTTTAATTTGTGATGGAGATATAGAAATATTTGGAAATGGTGACCTTGAACAAATTGGGTTATTAATTTTACGACACATCCACAAACTACAATAGCTATCAAGAGAGTGATTTTTTAAGCCTGATTTTTATGAGCT